TGTGTCTATGTATGTGAGTGTGTGTCTATATGTGTGTGTGTGTGTGTGTGTGTGTGTGTTTGTGTGGTGAGTGCAAAGGGGAGAAAGGAAGAGAAGGGGAGATTAAAACATAAAGATGGCAACAATACAAAGAAGCCATGGATAAGGACGAGAAGTGAGAGAGTGAATCTCCATTCTCACAGAGCCAGTGAGTTTTTAACTTGGAAAGAGGCCACTCGGCCCATCGCTTCTGTGCTAGTCACAAACATCTGTCTATTCTTAAACAAAAAAACTGAAAGAATTGCAGATGCTGGAAATCTGAAAGAAAAACAGCAATTGCTGGAGAAACTTGGCAGGTCTGACAGCAAATGTGGAGAGAGAAACAGAGTTAATGTTTCGTGTCCAGTGACCATTCCAGTGATCTATTCCAGTCCCATTTTCCAACGCTTGGTCTTGTCTACTACGGCCCAACTCATTGCCTAAATACTTCTTAACTGTCTCAAGGGTTTCTATCTCTATCAGGGAGCAAGTTCCATCATCCTCTGGGTGAAAACCAATTTCATAAAATCTTCTCTAAAGCCCCCTACTCCTTATCTTAAATCGACAGCCCCTAGCCCTGGTTATTAACCCCTCAACCACAGGGGCAAACATTTCTCCATATCCATTCTGTCTATGCCCCTTAAAACTTTGTGTTGTGAAGAAAGAAGCTTATGTATTAAAATTTGGAAATTTCAACACAAGAACTGTCTCACTATTTCATCAGTTCACATCAACCACAGATTCTTTTTAGAATTTTATGCTGCGGAAAAAATAGCTTAGGAATTAAAATTTGGAAATTTCAACACAAGAACTGTCTTACTACGTTATCAGTTAAAGTCAAAAGTCACACAACACCAGGTTATAGTCCAACAGATTTATTTAAAATCACAAGCTTTCGGAACACAACCTGATGAAGGGGCAGTGCTCTGAAACCTAGTCATTTTAAATAAACCTGTTGGACTATAACTTGGCATTGTATGACTTCTGACTTTGTCCACCCCAGTCCAACACTGGCACCTCCACATCAACATCAGTTAAGGGAAATGGGGAGTTCATATCAGAACTTCCAGAATTTTGTGTTGTGGATAAAAAAAAAACTGAGGAATTAAATTTGGAAATTTCAGCACAGCAAATTCTCTCACTACCTCATCAGTTCAAGAGTTCATATCAACTACAGGTTCCCTTAGAATAGGCTTCCGAATAAAAAAAAATTCAGCGTTTTAAGCGTCTCTGGTTAATTTCAGCGCTGCCTTTGGGACCTGAGCTGGGAACACAGTTGTGTGCCCACACTGACTTTGTAAAAGTGGTTAAGAGATTCAATACTGACCTATAGTGGACACCACCGTCCCCACAAAGTAAAAGGCTCCAGTGAAGTCCCATCTGGGTCGAAGGGGATCCACTCTGATACCGGCCATACTGGCTTGCTCATACTCCCTGAGGAAGGCGCCCAGCTCCAGGCGGCTGATGTTGTGGCACCGGGTGAAGTTGGCAAACCTTCTGCTCCATGCCCGCTGTGCCCGCAGTTCCATGGGCCGCTCTATGCTTGAGAACACCGCCGCCCCGCACACCAGGTACAGCAGGATGAACAGTGCCAGCAACGCGAAGCGAGCGTTATCCTCATTCAGCCTGAGCGCAGGACAACAAACTGCCCTGCTCCCTCCCATAGCGCCGGGCTCTTCTCTGGGAGAGAGCAGTCTGTATGTTACCCGCCCCCCGCCACTACCCACCCCCGCCAACCACCTCCTTTAGAGATTTCACAAGCCCTTCTCCCAATGAGCATCAGCACTTTCAACCAGAGCCTCTTGTATGTCCAAATATGGAACAAGAGAGTTTCCCAACTCTAGCTCTTAAAGCTGGAAATGGAAATCGGATCACAATTTCATTCCCCTAAGGGCAAGATAGACTGGCATTGGAGTCAGTTCAGAGAAGGTTCACTAGGCTGATACTGGGTATGAAGGGGTCGTACTTACTTACTAATCAAAAAATGAATTGTGGATGCTGGAAGTCAGAAATAAAATCAGAAATTGCTGGGGTGTACTTGCATCTGTGTAGAGAGAAACAATTTTAATGCTTTGGCAGCACGTTGGCTCAGTGGTTAGCACTGCTGCTTCACAGCGCCAGGGACCTGGGTCAATCCCACCCTCAGGCGACTGTCTGTGTGGAATTTGCACATTCTCCCTGTGTCTGCGTGGGTTTCCTCCAGGTGCTCCGGTTTCCTCCCACAGTCCGAAGATGTTGGTGAATAGCCTGGGGGTTTTATCCCTGGAGTGTCAGAGGCTGAGGGGTGACCTTAAAGAAGTTTATAAAATCATGAGGAGCATAGATAGGGTGAATAGTCAAGGTCTTTTCCCCAGGGTAGGGAAGTTTAAAACTAGAGGGCATGGGTTTAAGGTGAGAGGGGAAAGATTTGAAAGGGATCTAAGGGGCAACTTTTTCACACAGAAGGTGGTGCGTGTATGGAATGAGCTGCCAGAGGAAGTGGTGGAGGCTGGTACAATTACAACATTTAAAAGGCATCTGGATGGTATGTGAATAGGAAGGGTTTAGATGGATATGGGCCAAATGCTGGTAAATCGGACTGGATTAATTTAGGATATCTGGTCGGCATGGACAAGTTAGATCAAGGGGCCTGTTTCCGCACTGTACAACTTTATGACTCTATGACTCTATGTGCAGGTTAGGGTGGATTGGCCACGCTAATTTGCCCATAGTGTCCAGGGATGTGCAGGCTAGATGGATTAGCCATGGGAAATGCAGGGTTTCGGGGATAGGATAGGGGGATGGGCTGAATGGCTTCTTTCTGCACTGTAGGGATTCTATGTTTCTTCTATGGGTCCGGTGACCCTTCTTCAGATCTGACTGTAGCTAGGAAAGGGTTGGTTCATTTGGTGAAAATGGGGTGGGGAGTGGGGCGGAGGATTAAACAATAGGTGGAGATAAAGTACAACAATTGGACAAGAAATGGGTAAAAGTTCTGCCTAGGGGAATGAATAGCTGCTGCTGGGGATGGTTAGTAATTGACGATGGGTTGTGTGGTAGCAGCCCATGTGATGACACGGCCTGGTGTGTTGGGGGTCGGGGTAAGGACAAGGGAGAAGGTGCCTCAAGCCCTAAACTTGTTGAACTCAATATTGAGTCCAGAAGGCTGCAGAGTTCCCAAGTGGGAAATGAGATGTTGTTCTTCCAGCTTGCGCTGAGCTTCGCTGGAGATGTTGGCCAGGGAGCAGGGTGGTGTGTTGAAGTGGCAGGCAAGTGGAAGCTCAGGAATAACAAGGTGTAGAGCTGGATGAACACAGCAGGCCAAGCAGCATCAGAGGAGCAGGAAGGCTGATGTTTCGGGCCTAGACTCTTCTTCAGAAATCCTACTATCTCCCTCCAAACATTTCCCATTCATGTACTTATCCAAATGTCTTTTAA